GTCAGTTCCCTGGCTAGGGATCGAATTCATGCCACAGTGGCTGGTGATAGCTTGGTAGCTTGATAGTGCTGAGACTTTAACCCCCATGCCACCAGGGAGGCCCTTGGCCTTGGGCTTTTACCAGGAATGTGGGGGACATGGACGTGTAAGAGGGTGGTGCCTAGGAAAAGGGTAAGTTCTAGGTTCCCTGCCCCACCCAAAGGAGGATGAAGTTGACTAGGGAGGAGAAGAAGCTGGAGAGGAGACTGGGAAAAGAAGGAAGCAGGATGGAGAGCCAGGAGGAGACCTGGTGGAGGCACATGGAGCCGAGAGACATGTGAAGAAACTGCGCTTGCCTTTTGGTCGTGGACTGGGTGACATGGATGTGGGTGAGAAACCCATGGGGAGGTAACAATGGCGGTTTTTGTCTTGATTTTGATTTTGCTCTTTTCCTCCCAGACTTGTCTGGTTGTTTCTGATCCTTTTCTGTGGGTCCCCACTGGAAGATGCTTTAGAGTTGTGGCAGGCTTTGGGGCCCTGCTCTGGGCCAATCCTGCTTGGGTGGACTTTTACTCACAAGGGGACGGGTAACTTTGGGTGCTTGATTTAGAAACTATATTCTTTGTCTTTTCTGTATCATTTACTAATTGTATTAAAGTTCCTTTTCATTAAAAATCGCATGTTTTGTGTTGATGCGGCAGATGGCAGAACCTATTTAGAGCAGGCAGGTTTGGGGCTCTGGGGTGCCCCTCTCCCTGCCCTGTATCAGATTGAGAAGCTTGAAAGAGAAGTTGGTAAGAGACCTATAGGGAGGCTGACAATGGAGGCCTTTATCTTGACTTTTATTTTGATTTTACTCTTTTTTTTTTTAAGATTTATTTATTTATGCATACAAGAACTAGGGTGTAGGGCCTCCCTGGTGGCGCAGTGGTTGAGCGCTGGGTTGCGAAGCTGCCTGCAGCTTCTGCGGTGCTGGTTCGATCCCCGGATGCTCCCCAGCCACCGGAGGAGGGTCCCGCATGGCGCGCAGACCTCTCCTGCCGCCAGCTGCTCCCCTCAGCAGTGTACTTCGGTCCTTCTGCCTGCTCTGCTCCCTGCTCTGGCTCTGGTGAATTCTCTCACCCTCCCATGCTTCTGACTGTACCCAGTGCTTGTATAAATAGATAAATAAATAAATCTTTAAAAAAAAAAAAAAAAAGAACTAGGTGTAAGCCAGAGGTGAGGGGGTGAGAAAGAAAATTCACCAGAGACAGAGCAGTGAATAGAACAGGCAGACTGACAAAATACACTACTGAGGGGAGCAGGGGGCGAGACAGGAGAGGTCTGCTGCACCATGTAGGTGGGGATCCCCTGGCCAGCTGGGGATCGAACTCGCACTGCAAAGGGTGTGGATAGCTTCACAGTGCTGTGCTTAACCCCTTGCGCCACCAGGGAGGCCCCTGATTTTACTCTTTTCCTTCCAGACGTGCGTGGCCCTTTCTGCCCCTTTCTTGAGGCTCCCCACCAGAAGGTGCCTTACGCATGTGGCAAGTTTTCAGGCCTCAAGTGACTCTGCTTTGAGCCAACCCTGTTTGGCTGGAAATTTACCCATGATGTGATGATAACTTTGGGCATTTCATGGGAAAACTATTTTGACAATATTTTTTCTCTTCTCTCTAACTCTATTGCACACTAACTCTATTAAAGTTCTTAGCTACTGAAGATCTTACATGCTAATAGTATGTTTGTCTTTATGGGGTAGATGGCAGAAGCCATCTAAAGCATGCAGGTCTGGAGGTCTTAGGGTCCTCCTCATTCTGCCCTCTAAAACAGTCTGCCTCCCTGATATTTATTAATAACACTAAAAACTACTGTTATTATTATATAACCAGCATGGATTTAGTGCTTACTATATACTACAACCTTAAATTCTCATAATGAATCTATTTAGCACAGTACTATTTTTTTTAATAAACTTTCTTATTTTCTTCCATTGTTGTTCATTATTGTACAATAATTGATTTCTCCCCTCAGGTATAGTCCCCATAAATCTCCCACCGCCATTTCACCCATGAACCGTGACTGTAGGTACCTTGTGTTTTTTTCTCCCATTTGCACAATTATTATCCCCATTTTGCAGATGAGACAATTAAAAGCACAGAGAAGTTAAGTCATATAGTTAGAAGTGGCAGAAGCAGATGCAGTGGCTTCAAATGCAGACTTACTCTGAATCTTCCATTTGTAAACACTACATTACACACTTTCAACTTTGAAATTACAGTGTAAGGGAAAAATAACAACATAAAAAGTACCTAAACATACCTATAGTCTCATGCTTAATTTTTCAAACAAATATATATTTTAGTCTTAGATTATCTTTCTGTTTTTCTAAGTTTGTTTTAGGTAAAATGGAAGGATTCTGTGGCAATATAAAAATAAAAACTATGAAACAGGAGAATCAATAAAACTTAAGAATCAACACATGAAATGGACACACTTAATTCACTTTCTACATGTGCCACTCATGACAGAAGCCCTTTTTTAAAATTCACTATTTCCTAGAACAAAGGTGAACATTCGGACAATATTTTAAAAGACTATAAGAAATTCATTTTAATAATTCTGGTTTTAAAAGTATAGAAATTGTGGAGAGAGTAGAACATTCCAACTTTAGTACCAAACTAATCAATCACCTCTGCACCCAAATATTTAGGTTCTGCCCTTTGAACCCACATACACCAGAGAAAGTAAAGATAAGAATTTGTTTAAAAGCTTGAAGTGTCCCTCTACCTACCAGGATAAGCATTTGAATAAGACAAAGAAAAGGCAAAGAAAATTTCTTAAAAGAGGAAGGAAAGAGGATAGGTTAAAAGAAAAAAAAAGACCAATCGCCTCTCAGAGAATAAGGTCCATCCACATTAGAGAAAGAATTAAGCAGATACATTCAGCTTTTCTAACAGATTTTCTTTCTCTAAGGCTTCAATACCCCTCTCACACTCACTCAGATAATCACATTAGTTTTGTCATTAAAAGCTCCCTTTTCATAGAATGCACTTAAACCGCTTAAACCACCCAGAGAGGTTGCATACATTATCAAGCATAAAGACAAATGGAAGAGATTTTCATTTTCTGTCTTATTATTTCACTATATTTGCATGTTCAGAAGGCTAAGTCAAAAGATGTGTGATTTATCTGCTAAAAGATGGGTCCAAAATAAAACAATTCTACAGTGTCCTTAAAAACTGATGTTTAAGTTGAGAAGGAATCTAGCAGTTTTTTATGCTGACAGAGCAGTCAAATGACAGAGAGGTTTCCTATTCTTCCATGAGTTCTATCAGCCAAATCCATGATAATTTCTGCATGAATGTTGCAGCTTCTGTCAACAGTAAACAAAAGCAAACTGAGACTGGTATGCAAAGTTCAAAGATAAATTAAAAAGACATCTGAGTTGACAAGGAAAATAATATTCAGTAGCTGCCTGTGGATCCTTCAGAACTATACAAGGTCCAAGTAGATAGAATTGGAAATTATCAGCTTTTTTTCAAAATCCAACTGTTACATATTATCTTACCATCCTTTGCCTGAGTTACAGACTCAGGAAAGGACAGCTGTTTGTCAGCCCTTTAAAAAGGAGGAAGTATATCAGAGGGAGGAGGAGTCTCGGTTAAATGGAACTATCCAAGTGAAAGACTGGTCCCCAACTGGGTAGTGTTCCAGGGATTAGCAGGTTGGGAGAACATAGAGGGGGTCAAGAAATAGAAAATGGAATGAACAGTGAAAGAAAGTGATCTAAAGCTAAACGTTTGAGACAAAGACATGTAGTGGGAAAATTCTAAAACCAGATAGGAGGAAACTGGAGATAGATGTAGGCAATTAAAGTTTCTCAAGCAAGAGACAGAGAAAAACTACTTTCGGTAGGGGGCAGGCAGGAAACAGAATCATAAATATTTTTAAAGTAATCAAGAATTCTTTAAATTTCCAAAATTCAAATTACTCAACACTCATTTACCTCTGGCCTGCTGTGTGCCAGACACCCACTAGCCGTTCAAATTTTCAGATGCAGAAAAACAACCCTAGTGGCAAATTACCTTGTTTCATTTCAGATAAAATGTTTTAGAGAAAGATATGAATTTAATAGTCCACAGGGATAATTAAAAGAACTTTTGAAACTCCAGTCTCTTATTAACAATTTTGTTTATATTCCAGCAATCATTCCAGCTATAGTCAGTTATATTCTCTAAGCTGGCCAGTCTTTGTTTTTGAAACTAAAAACTAACGGCGTTCACAAAGGAATACTTACATATAACAACAAAGAATTTTGGTATGAAAACAACCTTAAAATTTAGAGTGCAATGTGTCTTTACACTTTCCAGAATGTTTTCACTTCCAATATTTTACTTGACTCACAGCAAATAAACTCTTTTGAGTATGTAAATATAAGTCTCTGATTCTGTAGCGGAAGGCATGAAGGGCTGTGTTAGAAGAGTGTCTTGCCCATGATCACACAGCTGGTAAATGGGAGTTCTGGATCAAACCCTAGCCTTCAGCATTCAAATTGATGCTCTTTCCATTCCACCTTGCTACAGGGGTCACCCATTTATGATGTGTGCAGCACTTAGTATGTATTAATAGTTGACTGAAATCATTGCACTATGACAACAGTTGCCATTTACTAAGCACTGACCATATATTACAGCATGTATCTCATATGAAAAAGATTAAAGTGTATGCAATGTGTAGACAGCACAGGACTAGGCACATTGCAATTATTCCATTAATAACAACTACTGTTGTTATTTCTAATTCATGCAACTCTATATAGATTGATGCATTTGATTTCTATTTCCAATTCAATAAAGTTAAGTAACACATTCAAGGCTGAATAGCCAGAAAGTGACAGAAGCTAGAATTCCAGTCCAATTTTGACTAACTCCAGACCTCCTAAATCACTGAAACCTGCTGATGCTGAAAAATCAGAGAATACACACATAAAAAATGAGAAATATCCTATTCAAGGTGATGAAAGGGCGTTTTACTGTTACCTTGATAGGCCAAGCAGGCAAAGGCTGTAAAAAGCTGGTCGCATAAGGGTAGTCCACCATTGCCAGATTTACCCAGGTTTCAGAGATCCACTCTTTCAAGCGCTGGATATCCTCAGATTCTACTAATGGGTCACATAAACGAAGGGTTTCCGAAAGCCAACTCAAACCAGTACCTAAGAATAGAATCACATTGTTGAAATCTAAAAAGCACAACTCAACAGAAGACTTTACAGATTGTTGGAGTACAAAGGAAACCATCCCATGCCCCCTGGATTCTTCTAGGCTTCAAATAAACAGGCATCAGACAGAATGATAGAGAAAAAAGCAAAAGAGAAGTTTGATAATAACATACATACATGTTAATAACATATATACTCTCTCCATGTATACATGGGAGAGACCAGTATGACTAACTCACCCACAGGGCTTTAGACACAATATTAGATAATTGAACTAAAACAGGGGACTGTGTAGGGAATGGGAAAAAGAAGGGTAGGGAGGTGTCCAGGAAAGTAAAATACAGTAGATTAAAATACTGCAGGTTTAAGTTCTGCCTTCACCTTAGAAAGAGAAAAGGGATCTGGTCTTGAGAGGCCATTACAGAGAGAAGGTTACATAAAAATATCAAAAGCAATCTCCCCCTACTCTTCACAGCCTCTTTCAAGAAATAAACCTCCTGCTCATAAGACATATTTTGAAGTGGCAAATTTTTGCTCCTGTACAAGATCATTTATTCTTCACAGGTATTTAAGAAAACTCAATCTGTTACAGAAGCACTTGCAGCTTCAGCAGGGAACCTGACTGACTCCGCCCCAGCATAAGCCACAGGGACAGAGGCCCAAGCTTGGTGCGCAGGGAGCCCCCAGGCTCCAGGCCTCAGATAAGCATCCTGGCTTCACTGAACCCCCTGCACTGCACACCTGGCAGGAAACAGCCAAGCCAGCACAGGGCAGGTGGGTCTCTCACATGCCTTCTGGGGTTTTGCTTTTGAATCCTGTGCCAATTTTGAAAACAAACCAATGAGGTTCAAGATCCCAATGCACCAATCAGGTTTAAGTGCCCAACAGGGCAATTCAAGGTTTTGAGACCACTCAGGTTTTGTAAATGGAACAATCAGGTTTGAAAGGTAAGTATTCTAAAAATACTTGGATGTAAGTATTAAAGGATATAAGCAGGCCTTCAGACAGCTTTATTTTTTTTTAATAATAAATTTTATTTTTATATTCCCCATACAATTGCAGCCCCCCATTCTGACCCCAATCCCTCCCCTCCCACCCCCGCCCCCCTAAAAGTGTCTCTGGTTCGTAGTTTTTTGTTGATTTTGATTTTCACTTTCTTATAGTTATTCATTTTCCTGGTCCCTTATTTAAGTTTTCTAGATTCCTGCTATGAGTGAGACCATCCGGTATTTTTCTTTTTCTTTTTGGCTTATTTCGCTGAGCATGATCCCTTCCAGTGCCATCCATGTTGCTGCAAATTGCATGTGTTTATCTTTTTTGAATGCTGAGTAATATTCCATGGTATATATGTACCACATCTTCTTGATCCAGTCATCTATTTTTGGGCATTTGGGTTGTTTCCAAAGCTTAGCTATTGTAAACAGTGCTGCTATAAACATAGGGGTGCAGGTGTTCTTTGGAATTGATGTTTCTGTGTCCTTTGGGTAAATACCTAGGAGTGGAATTGCTGGATCATATGGAAGCTCTATGTTTAGTAGGTCCAGAAATCTCTACACAGCTCTCCACAGTGGTTGGACCAGTTTGCACTCCCACCAACAGTGCAGAAGAGTTCCTTTTTCTCCACACCCTCGCCAACATTTGTTGTTGCTAGTTTTTTTAATATGTGCCATTCTCACTGGTGTAAGATGGTATCTCATGGTAGTTTTGATTTGCATTTCCCTGATGACAAGTGATGTTGAACATTTTTTCATATGCCTGTTGGCCATTTGCATTTCCTCTTCAGAGAAGTTTCTTTTTAGCTCTTCTGCCCATTTTTTGACTGGATTCTTTTCTTTGTTGTTGTTAAGTCTCATCAGCTCTTTGCAGATTTTTGTGATCAGTCCTTTATCATTAGTGTTGGGTGCAAAAATGTTCTCCCAGTTGGTGGGGTTTCTCTTTGTTTTTGTTATTGTCTCTTTTGCTGTGCAGAAGCTCTTTAATTTGATGTAGTCCCAGCTGTTTATCTTTGCCTTCACTATCACTGCTTTGGGTGATGTGTCTGTAAAGATGTCTTTGATGTGCAAATCACATACTGTTTCGCCTATATTTCCTTCTATATATTTTATGGTTTCAGGTCTTATGTCTAGTTCTTTAATCCATTTTGAGTTGATTTTTGTGTATGGTGTGAGGTAGTGGTCAAGCTTCATTCTTTTGCATGTAGTGACCCAGTTTTCCCAGCACCATTTATTGAACAAACTTTCTTTGCTCCAATGCATAGTCTTTGCTCCTTTGTCAAAGATTAGTTGACCATAAATCTGTGGGTTTATTTCTGGATTTTCTATTCGATTCCATTGGTCTGTATGTCTGTTCTTGTTCCAATACCATGCAGTTTTGATGATTATGGCTTTGTAGTATAGTTTGAAGTCTGGGAGTGTGATGCCTCCATTCCCTTCTTTTTTTTTCAGGAGTGCTTTGGCTATACGGGGTTTTTTGTGATTCCATATGAATTTCATCAATAATTGTTCTATTTCTTTGAAGAATGACATTGAAATTTTGATTGGAATAGCATTGAATCTGTATATTGCTTTTGGAAGGATGGCCATTTTAATAATGTTTATTCTTCCAATCCATGAACAGGGGATGTCTTTCCATTTCTTTGTGTCTTCTTCTATTTCTTTTAACAGTGTTTTATAGTTTTCTTTGCATAGGTCCTTTACCTCTTTTGTTAGATTTATTCCCAAATATTTAATTTTTTTTGTTTCAATAAAAAAAGGGATGGTTTTTTTGATTTCTTCTTCTTCAGATTTATTGTTTGTGTATAGGAAGGCTACTGACTTTTGCGTGTTCATTTTGTATCCTGCCACTTTACTGAACTGATTGATGAGTTGAATTAGTTTTTCTGTGGAGTTTTTTGGGTTCTCTTTGTATATTATCATATCATCTGCAAATAGTGATAGTTTGACTTCTTCTTTTCCTATTTGGATTCCTTGGATGTCTTTCTCTTGTCTTATTGCTGTGGCTAGGACTTCCAGTATTATATTGAAAAGCAGTGGTGAGAGTGGACATCCTTGTCTTGTTCCAGATCTTAATGGAATTGCTTTCAGCTTTTCACCATTGAGAATGATACTGGCTGTTGGCTTGTCATAGATGGCCTTTATGATGTTGAGGTATGTTCCTTGTATCCCAAGAATTTCAAGGGCTTTTATCATGAATGGGTGTTGCACTTTGTCGAAAGCTTTCTCAGCATCTATTGATATTATCATATGGTTTTTGTATTTCTTTTTGTTGATGTGTTGGATAACGTTGATTGATTTTCGGATGTTAAACCATCCTTGTGTCCCTGGAATGAATCCTACTTGGTCGTGGTGAATTATCTTATGGATGCATTGTTGGATTCTGATAGCTAAAATTTTATTGAGGATTTTTGCATCAGTGTTCATTAGGGAGATTGGCCTGTAGTTTTCCTTTTTTGTGTTGTCCTTGTTTGGTTTTGGTATTAGTGTAATGTTGGCTTCATAGAACGTGTTTGGTATTGTCCCTTCCTTCTCAATTTTTTGGAAGAGTTTGTGAAGGATAGGCACTAATTCGTCTCCTTCAGACAGCTTTAGACACACTTTCCTCTGGACCCTCTCTGGGAAAGATCTTTGATGCGGACCACAGACCTTTGAGACCTTCACAGACCTCTCAGACCCCTGCAGAAATCTGAGACCTTCACAGACTATGCAGACCCTCAAGACCTTCACATCAGAACTCCAGCATTGCCTCTGACATTGCCTGCTGACTGGCACCATTGCCTTATGCCTGGTATCTCTAAGAGCTGTAACACTGGTGCCTGGTCCTCTAGCACCACCTCTATGAGGTGTTCATCACTTCTGACATTCTGGCACTGCCTACTGATGCTATTGCATCTGGCACTGTCTAGCCCAGCCTCTAGATAGCTGCTGCTGGCTGCTGGAGTGCCACCTCAGCACCACTACCTGTGATCACCTCCAGCTGCCCCCATGAGTTGGATCCTGGTCCATCACCAGGTGTGCCACCAGCTCCAAGCCCTCATCAAAGGGACAATGCCATCTTGCATGAGCAGTTTTTGATTTGGACTACTGGACACTGTGGACACTGAAGTAGGAGAGTCAGCCATTTGTGGCTATAGAAACTTTCCTTTTTCCCAATTTTTCCTTTGTTAATAAACCCCATTTGTTGTTGCACCCTAAGCCTGAGTCATGTCTTTCAGTTGAAAGAGCAGAGGGAGAACCCAGCAGCTGTGACATTCCCCAGCTTTGCATTGTTTCAAATCTACTATACCATTTTCCCAAGAATGTTTTTTCAACATTCAATAAAATATTTTTAAAGCAATAGGATCATCCCATGATAGATAAATTGCCTAGTTTGTGAAACTTACCAGATTTAATAGTTTGAATTATTCCCCTTCTAAATACACTATTGAAATAAACAAACAAACAAATGGAATACTAAAGAGTATTGAGAATGCAAAAACTATAGCTGAATGAAATAAATGGATATATCTGACAAACAGCAATGAGCACAAAAGACAGTCCACACCAGAAAGAAACATATTTTGCAATTCCAATTACTAAAAAATATCTTGGGTAAGCAAAATTAACATATGGTTCTAGGAGTCAGTAAAGTGATTAGACTGGGAGATGCCAAGGAAGTGCTGGAGGGGGCATTAGTGGATTTATTGATCTGGATGCCAATCACGCTATGTATTCACTTTGTAAAAACATCCTATATTTTTTGATTTGTGTACTTTTCTGCATGCTACACTCAAATATGTATGTTATACCAAAATAAAAAGTTTACTGAGAAAATGATAAGTCTTGAATTTAACAAATGGAATGTTAAAAACCTGTGATTTCTTTCTCTCATTTAAAGCTTACCTGTAGCAGCAATTCGATTAATGGCACCCCAGGACCTGCGGATGCTCTCTGAACAATTTGGGCCACTTTTCTTAAAATCTTTAGTTACAATCTTCATAAATATATCACAAGGCACCAGATCCTCAAACTGCCAGATAGGAGCAGAGGCTGCAAGAGCACTAAGTAGTAAGAAAAAGAAGAAAAGATGTAACTCAGCAAATTTGAATTCTAACATTGAACCTGATATTGCGTGTAAATGAGAGACATTGAGATGAATATTGAATTATATTGAAAAATATTAAAATGACATCGAGAAAAATAACTATTCATGAGATAGTGAAATCTCAGTACAACAGATGTAGCATGTTTTACCCAAAACAAATCTCTAACTTTGCCTCAACAATCATTAAGAAGTGCCCATAGCCAACATAAATGTATTTACCCAACCACCATATGAGGATATTTCATCCTGAACCAGGCTGCAAGCATGCCTCCATAAGATCCCCCTACTGCAATGAAAGGCTGATTTTTAGCTCCTGGGATTGTTTTTTTCAAGTGTTTGATTAACTCTGCAAAATCAGCCAGAGCTTGTTCTGAAGTCAGAAAATTCAGGTGTTTGGGATCCTAAAGAAAAATAAAGAACATGAGTATAAATATGAGTATAAATAATAGCAGCTTAGGCACAGCACAGATCCAGCAAAAAAAAAAAAAAGTCAGATAAACATCTCTTCAAAAGAATTGCTAGGCAATTAAGTTAAAATGTCCAGTCAAAGAAATGTTGGTTTACACCACTCATGAAAAAGTGATTTTAAGTTTGTGGGAAGAGCATATAATATGTTTTGCATTCAAACATAATTTCTATTAAATGCTATTTAACAAAGACCTTGTTGAAATTTTAGAACAGAAATAAAGTGTAAATAACATTTAACAGCAACTGTGATGAAACACCATGCTAAGTTTAACAAATACTGTATTAAAAACTTTATTTCTAATCTTGATACATCTAAAATGGCTACCCTATAGGCAAAGGTAAACTAAATCCTGTAAAAAAATGAAGAATAATCGGCAAAAATAAAACCATCCCTCCTTATTAAAAAGATGATTATTATATCTGATATACTAACACATAGAGCAAATTACCCTGCCACTTATAAACAACTATGAAATTGAGGTTAAAAAAGAAAAAAATATAACAACTCTTTTCAGGCATCGGAAAAAAGACAACACAAGACTGATTGTTGAAAGAAGGAAAACTCATAAACTAAGTTCCATGGTCATCTAGGTCTCTGCCTAAGGACAATTTCTGCACTGCAATGTAGAGAGATGGAGCTCAGTGTCCCATTTAGAGCACTACCGATAGTACCAACATTGAAAAGTAAGTTGTTCAAAGAAAAATATTAACTAATAGTAAATACATACGACAACTTCACATTGCCAGAATCACAAGGTAGTACATGAGTAACTTAGATGAAAGAAAAGTGTCCAGGTTTATTAGGCATAGTATCTATGGCAAAGGCAAAAGCTCCTAGTGAGAACAAGGCTAGAGGGAATCCAAGCAACCGGTTGGCCTCACTGAATCATTTTTCCTTATTTTGATCATTCTATTTTATTGAAAAACACCTTTTTAAGAAAACATAATGAGCATTTGAGTGCTTGTTGTCTTTGTTCCATTAACAGGTCCAATAATTTAAGTGTATAATTTATAAAAAAGAATTGTTTAATGACTTTTTTTAAAAAATGAAGTTCCCTCCACTGTCTCTAGCCTCATCACACTGAGCTAAAAACAGATAAACATTAAAATTATAATGATTTTTAAAAACCTCAAATTGTTAGGGGGAAAGGATGTCCTGCGTTAATCCCATACAGGCTTTGTGGACTCCACCCCAACTCCAGACCAAAGCCATCAGGACATTGGAAAAGACAAATCCCGTCACCACCAAAGGGAAGGTGGCTGGGACCTGAGGGTGGAGTTAAGCAGCCAGGGTTGGTATAAAAACCAGACACGTGGGCCTTGGGGTCTCTCGCTCTGTCGCTCGCCTCCTGGCTTCACGGCTCCTGGCTTGTGGCCAGCTCTCAGAGTGCCATTTTGGAATTCCTGATCGGCGGATCAGGTAGGACGCATTTAAAACTTTGTCTCCCACTTTTCTCCCTGAGCTGTACATTTCCTCATTTCCCCTTCCCTTGTAAATAAACCTTTTATTAACCTTTAGCGTGTGCCTGCAGTAGAGTATTGATAAGTCCTTTTAAGCGCCCGGGTGAGGACCCACAGCCAGGCACCCCGTTTTATATGGGGGCTGCCCTATAACAATTTGTTTAAATTGTATATAAGAAGAAAGATTAAATACAAAATTATTAAAATTTTAAGCAGTTCTAAGTTAAAGCTATCATTGTGTAGGCCTGCTACTCCTAGGCAGCCTATTGGGCCGCCATTTTGTCACCTAAACACAGTCAAAATGGCCCAGCCAGTTAGGTACAGGAGCCCAACCCTTCAGCCCTTCAAATCAAACAAGAGCACAAAGCTGGATCACACTGGGAAGGTTATGCATCAAGAGGTATGTACAGAACTCCTGGGGAGCTGAGGACCAATGCATAACACATGCATAACATGTACTCCCAACTTATATACATCATTAGGTATGACTGTGAACACCCGGGGGGCCAGGATCGATGTATGACAAGGGACCCCAGAAGCTGATCAGTGGATGGCCTTGTTGATAAGATTAAAACCATGGCTGGGGATTAGGGTGTGTCATCAAGTAGATAAGAAGTGCCTGGAGGGCAGATTCACAATCCCTAATCTTCTACACCCTTCCCTTTTCTATAATCTCCTTCCCCTTAATCTCCTTTTGCTCCTCCCCCTTACAACCAATACTGAGTGTCAATAAAAGGGCCAGGATCTTGCTCTTCAGCAGCATCTTGCATTATGTAGCCTGCTCCATGATTCCCGTTTCTCTGTCAGTGTGATGTTGCCCAACACAACATCATTTCTTCCTCACATTGGGACATGTAGATAGAAAATGCTACAAACTTTAAAAAAAAAAAAAATTTTTTTAATTTAAAAGTAAAAAGTATATTAACCTTAAATGAGTCAGCACCAAAGGGAAGGGATTCTCCATAGTATCGATGCTCAGCAAACACCAACATAGCCTTCAGTTCCTCAGCCACATCCCACATGAACCCCTAAGAAGAAAAGGATCCACTCACAGGTTAAAAGCAAGATGTAAAAAGAGTCATCAATCCTTTTTACAACATATATGAAATGGATGTTAAATCAGACCAAATTATGTGTGGAGCTGCACAATTTGTGTGTTTTGCGTGATTTTTGTTTGTTCTATATAATTGATGTTTGATTGATGCATATCAATCACACACTGAATTAGAGTGAAACAATGAAAATTAAGCCCAGGTTGCCCATCCACCAGATATTCCAACTTAAACTCTAGCCCTAGAATTAACATTATATCAGAAAAATAGTCTTCAAACTATACTGTACGCCAAATATTCAAAGACCTGAGGATATCTAAGTTAGCAGCCTACTGTACAGGCATTTACAACATAAAAGAAAAAAACAGTATCAAGAAGCTTACAGAATTCCTTTGGGTTTTATATTAATTTTATTTGAAAATAAACTAGTAGATAGTAGTAACTAACATTAATTGAGTGCTTGCAATGTGTCAGGCACTGTTCTAAACACTTTGTATGTAATAATTCCGTTACTTGTCACAACAACCTAAGAAATAGGCACTTTCACTATCTATCCCTAGTTTACAGACAAGGATAGTGAAGCACAGAGTTTCACACTGTCCAAAAGTGGCAGCACCAAGACTCAAACACAGATTGTCAGGTGCTGTCAGACCTCCTGACTCCCACACTAAGGGTGGTCATTCATCAGTTACTGCACTTTCTCACTTTCCTCAGCTGTGACCTCAGACTCCTTCTCAACAAAGCATCCTCCAGTCAACATAAATCAATTCAATTTAGATTAGCACCAATTGAAACTGTCATTCCTAGTGCACAATGTTGCTTTCTAACAAGCTGCTACTCCCCAACTGAGACAAAAAACATCTGAAAGCTTGTTTGTTTTGATCAATAAATCATTATAAAAACTGAATGTTTGTGAGAATGGAGTCCTTAAACTGGTATCTGTGATGGTTGCAATAATCACTTTTCTCTCTTCTAACAACCTGTTCATTCCCTGCCATTTATCCACAGACCCTGTGATACCCAGCTCAAGGATACCCTCCTCTGATGATTATGCCTCCTCTCATCACCACTATGTCAGGTATGTATCTCTACTACTGTGCTTCACTATCTGCTGACAAGTATGTCTCTCCCTACCAGAATATAAGCTTCTTAAGGGTAAAGACCACCCTTCCAAATAAAGAGTTCTATGGAATTGAACTCAGGCTAGAGAAGAAGCAATTTATTTAAATCAATTCACATTATATTAAGTGATTATTTGTTGGCATTATTTCAGGAGTATTTTCATTTTTCAAAAGAGGTCCATGTAACATAATGACATTTAATAACATTATGTTACAACATTGGTCAACATTTCTGATTATTTTGTTCTGCTGTGTTTTCTATTTTTACATGTATTAATGTGAGGCTGATTTATAACACTACATATGTTTTAGGGCTATAGATTCACACCTCCACAAATGTTATCAGACAATGCCTACCACCAAAGTAGCAATAACCTTCCATAGTCCATTAAGACCCCTTCCAACTTTGCTCCCTCTCTCCTACCTACCACTTCTGGTAGTCTCAATTCTGCTGTCATATTTCAAGGGTTTATTTTGATTTGTTTTATCTATTCCTTCACTTTATTTTTCATATTCCGTCCAGTACTTATCTTCCTACTTCCTATTTCTGACTTAATTTGCTGGGCATAATCCTTTCCAGCTCTATCCACATAGGTACAAATGGCAAGATTTCATCTTTTCTTAAATACCTGAGTATATTCCAAATATGTAGAATATATACATATAGTGCATACATGTAGTCTATACACACACACACATATATACTAATTTTCTTTATCCATTCATCTATACTTGAGCATGTCAGTTATTTCCATAGTTTGGCTATTGTTAATAGTGCTGCAATGAACACAGGAGTTTTTGTACTGGTGGGCTATTGCTGGATCATATGGAAGATCTATTTTTAAAGTTTTAAGAAACCTCCATACTATTTTCCATAGAGCTGGACCAGTTTACTTTCCTATCAACAGTATATAAAGGTTCCTTTTTATCCACCCCCTAACCACCAATTACTGTTTCTGGTCTTTTTTATATAGCCCATTCTCATAAGTGCGATGTGGTATCTCATTGTGGTTTTGATTTGTATTTCCCTGATAAGAAGAGATGATGAGCATGTTCTCAGGTGCCTGTTGGTCAGATGTATGTCATCTTTAGAGAAGTGTCTATTTAGCTCTTCTACTCATTTTTTGATTGAGTTTTCTTCTTTTCGTTGAGTTATAGGAATTCTTTGTAGATTTTGGAAATTAGCGCTAGGTCAGACATACTATGTGTAAAAATTTTCTCCAATTCAGTAGGGTATCTTTTGGTGTTGTGCAGAAGCTTTTCATTTTGATGTTAGTTTATTTTTGCATTAGTTTTCCTTCCCAGTTTAGTTGAATAGGCTTTCCCTCTGCCATTGTATGTTCCTGGTTTCTCTGTCAAAAATTAACTGCCCATATAAGTCTAAGTTTATTTCTGGGTTCTCAATTCTATTCCATTGGTCTGTGTGTCTATTTTTATTCCCATACCATACTGTTTTGATTACTATTGCTTTGCAGTAAAATTTGAAGTCTGAGAGCATAACATTCTTCTATTTTCTTAGAATTGCTTTGGCTATTCAGGGTCTTTTGTAAAAAGTGATAGCTTTCGGGGCTCCCCAGTGGCACAGCAGTTGAGTGCTGGGCTGTGAAGCTGCCCGCAGCCTCTGCAGTGCCAGTTCAATCCCCGACCACTGGAGAGGGTCCCACATGGCACACAGACCTCTCCTGCCCGCCCGCTGCTCCCCTCAGCAGTGTACTTCGTCGGTCTGCCTGTTGTGCTCCCCGCTCTGGCTCTGGTGGATTCTCTGACCCTCCCGCACTTCTAACTGTACCCAGTGCTTGTATAGATGAATAAATAAATCTTTTACAAAAAAAAGTGAAAAGCTTTCTTATTTTCTAAAATGAATTCTTTTTATTCCTTCCTCTTGCCTAATTGTTCTAGCTAGGACTTCCAACATTATGCTAATAGTAATGGCAAGAGTGGGCATTCTCAGAGGAAAAGTTTTCAGTTTTTCACCATTGAGTATGATGTGAGCTGTAGGTTTGTCACAGATGGTCTTTGCTATGTTGAGGTAATTTCTGTCTATCCCCCCTTTTTTAAGAGACTTTTTAAAATAAATGAATGTTAAATTTTCTCAAATGTTTCCCTGGCATGTACTGATATGATAACATGACTTTTTTTCTTTCCTTTTGTTTTTGTGGTGAATGACATGAATTGAGTTGCATATGTTGAACTATCCTTGCATCCCCGAAATAAATTCCACTTGGTCAGTATGTGATCCTTTTAGTGTATTATTGAATTTGCTTTGTCAAGATTTGCTTGAGACTTTTGTATCTATCTCTTTGAGGATATTGGTCTGTAATTTTCATTTTTTTTCTGATATCCTTGTTTGCTTTTGATGTCAAGGTAATGTTGGTCTCACAAAACGTATTTGCAACTGTTTCCTCTTCAATTTTTTCAAAGAATTTGACAAGGATAGGCCTTAGTTCATCTTTGAAGTCTGATACAATGCTCTAGTAAAACTGTCTGATCCAGGGTTTTTGGTTGCTTCATTAATCCAATAGTCATTCAGTAGCATATAGTTTGGTCCCTACATACTATCATTTTTTGATTTCTAGTTTCATACCATTGAAATCAGAAAAAGATACTTGATATTTCAGTCTAATTTACTGACACCTGTTTCATGACCCAACATAGTCTATCTTTGAGAAGGTTGTTATGTGTACCAGAGAAGAAAGTGCACTTAGCATTTTTGCAGTGGAGTACCTATAAATGTCTATTAAGCCCATCTGTTCTAATTCCTCATTTAAGGCTGTTCTTTCATCATTCATTTTCAGTCTGGTTGATTTGTCCATTGATGTTAAGTGGGGGTTAAAGTACCCTGCTACTGTTGTTGTTTTCAATGACTGTTTTTAAGTTTATCATTGCTTTACGTATTTTGATGCCCTTTCTTTTGTTACATAAATATGAGCATTAGGTTTTCCTTATGTTATTAATCCCTTAATTCTACAATGTCTATCCTCGTCCCTTGATCCTTTTTTAGCTGGAAGCATATTTTATCTAATTTAAGTATGGCTGCCCTTGCTTTTGTAAAGTATACCATTTGCTTGCAGGATTGTTTTCCAACCTTTTGCTTTGAGTCTATGTTTATCTTTGGAGTCAGATGGTCTCCTGGAGACAAATGAAAGTTAGGTTTTGGTTTCTGATCCAACTGGTCATTCTGTGCCTTTTGATTAGTGAGTTCAGACCACTGAAGTTTAGAAAAATTATTGATATACAAGCATATTGCTATTTTGTTATTTGTTACCTGGGTGTTTTTGCATTTTTATCTGTTCTTTTATTCTTTTCTTGTTCTTTCTGCTTTTATTTTGAAAGCTAGCCCTTGTGTGGTGTTTGGATTCTGTTTTTATCTCCCTTTTTCTTCTAGGCGGTTTTGTTCTGAGGTTACCATTTGCTTAATATATAGGGTTCTGTTAACTATATCCTATCTTAAACTGAAAGCAAGTTAATCTTGAGCCCCTTATACCAGTTCCCATTTTTCACATTCCTGATTCGTGTTTAGTCCTCATACAACACTATGAACTAGATATTATTTTTTAAAAAGATTTATTTACTTATGCCTAGAAGAACTGGGGTGTAGGCCAGAGGTGCAGGGGGTGAGAGGATTCACCAGAGACAGAGTGGGGAACAGAACAGGCAGATCGACTGAAGTACACTGCCAAGGGGAACAGCAGGCAAGATAGGAGAGGTCTGCTGCACCATATGGGCTGCTCCCTGGCCCGCCAGGGATTGAACTTGTGCTGCAGAGGCTGCGGATTGCTTCATAGTGCGGTGCTTAACCCCTTGTGCCACGGGGGAGGCCCCCTAGATATTATTATTATTATACCCACTTAAAAGACAAGAAACTTGCCCAAGTTACACAACATCATGGCAAATACGAATTCAAACTTGAATTAAAGTCTGGTTAAAGTCTTCACTCTTGACCACTATGTTAGACTGCCTCTCAGTAATGGAATGCTGAGAAACATTATCAGAACATTTTAGTATGTAAATGAGGGTATCTAGGAATAGGAAAGAGGCAGAACTTGCTCTTCTAGTATTGCCTTTAGTCAATTCTCTGTTACTATTCTTATACTGAGTATCTCTTTTCTTTCTACCACTACTGAGGTAATAGGTTCCCACAAGCCTTCAGTCATGTTGCAGTGCCCAGCAGAGCAGTACAGGCTGGTGGAGGCAGACACAGCTGCCTGCCTATAACAATAAAGAACAGAAACTGGGAAAGTAAGTGAACAGGAGAAGCTGCCCTGTGGCCTTGGCATAAAAGGGAAGTCACACAAAGAGAAAGAAAAGCAAGGCAGACTTGGTTTTTCTCAGAATAACAGAACAGGAATCTGATGGAAAATAAGTCCTGTCTTCATGTGTCACTGACCTAAGAGAAACATATCCCATTTCTCGGGGAATTATTTTCAACTAACATAACAAATTCTAAACATTCCTAAGGAAATAATCAGAAATGCAAAATGCAATTAGAGTGTGTAACTGGGTTCGTATCTTTGCTTTCAATTCAATTCAGCTGAGTTCAACAAGCAGTTGCTGAGTATCTGGTACCATGCAGGACATCAGCAACAGAAAAAACATGATTGAGTCCACACTTAAAGGCAATTCATAGCTTAGCTTTTTGGTAGAAAACTGAACATGTATACATATGAACAAGTAAAAATGTAACCCCAAAATTATAATTTTAAAAATTCACAAGTAAAGTAATACTTGGTCATATATATTCAAAACATTTTTTTTCTACTTTAAGATAACAAAAAGACAAAGCAAGCATAGGAATTTCGTAAGTCTCCACATACCGTATTATTGCAAAACCAGGTAATGTCCCCTTCATTACCAGTGTAGATAAGTACTGTTCCACCATCTTTCTTCCAGTGCTTATCAGTTACTAGGTACCGTTGTTTAAAAGTCTTATCATTGTTAAATCCAAAATGATCAACCTGTAATAAAAGCAAAATAAATCAGATAAATTTCAATGGAAAGTAAAGAGATCAATAAAAAAAATTTCCATTAAATTCAACCTATACAAAAAGATTATCACAAAAGTTTTAGCTTTCTGGGGTTTTATTGGAAGTATTAGTAGTGGATTTTTTTTAAAATTAATTTCTTTATAAGATAAAGCAATGCTATTAGTGGTCAAGAATTTCAGTGTAAGAGAAAATATGTAATTATGACATCAAGTAGCCACTTAGAACAATGTTATAACTGAATTGGTAACAGCAATACGAACTCATTGCTTTTTTAAACAGACATTCCTAACTATCTGAATCTTAATTATTCAAACTTATAATTATCAAAATTCAAAAACTAAACAGGATACTGAAAAGATCTATAAACTGTCTCCCTAGTAATAACTGAAATTCTAAGGGCCAGGATTTCTATGTCCATTATCTTTCTCCAGTGAAATGAAGTAGGACTTTACAGTAAATTTCTTTTTTTAATTTAAATTTCTTTATTTATTTAATTATTTTATATATTTTTCTTTTCAGTAAATTTCATTGACATTTGGGGCAAGGAAGCTATAAGATGAACTGATCCATCAAGGAGTGCAAAGCAGCACTCAAAATCTTATCAAGTTATAATTAGCAGACATAATTACAAGGGGACTATAATCAGCTAAAGTTTTACTAAATTGAACATTAAAAAGAATGATTGTAGAAGTCTAGCAAGATGATGAAGACACTGGCTTGCCTCCTCCAAATATTCACAACTACATTTCAGCAGAATAAAGCCAAAAACCCCTGAAAGAAAAATAGAGGACCACAACACAGACTAAGAGAAACAGTTTGGCAGAAAGCAGTAGGAGAAACTTAAGAGAACTGTGTTGCTAGCGATACAGGGACTGCCCGACACAGAAGAGTGAAGGGTGTTCTGCACAGTTCCTGACTCAGGAGCACACACCAACTTTGGGGGCTCCTGAAGACCCAGCAGTGTACTAAATAAAGAGAGGTGCAGAGCTGGTACCCGGAGATGGCATGCCAGTGGGTGCAGAGCAAGCTTTACTGGCTTGAGCCTGAGGTTCTCAATATAAACAGCTGGAGATATTGAGATACTGGACTGCAGTTTCTATTTTTTTTTTCTTTTTTTCTGATAACCTTATTTGGTTTTGGTATTAGGTTGACAGTGACCTCATAAAATGTATTTGGGCCTCCCGGTGGCGCAGCGGGTTGAGCGTGTGCTGTGAAGCCGTCTGCAGCCTCTGCAATGCGAGATCGATTCCCAGCAGGCCAGAGAGATACCCACATGGTGCAGCAGACCGCTCCTGCCTCACCCGCTGCTCCCCTCAGCAGTGTCTTCGGTCCTTCTGCCTGTTCTGTTCCCTGCTGTCTTTGGTGAATCCTCTCACTCTCCCGTGCCTCTGGCCTGTACCCCAGCTCTTGTATGAAAATAAAAAATAAAATAAAATGTATTTGGAAGTGTTTCCCCTTCAATTTTTTCAGATTTGAAAAGGATAAGTATTAGTTCCTCTTTGAAGTTTTGGTGGTGCTCACTAGTGAAACCATCTAATCCTGAGGTTTTGTTCTTTAGGAGATATTTGATTCACATTTTGATTTTCTTGGTTTGTTATGGGTATCTATCTCTTCCTGGTTCATTCTTGGCAGGTTGTATGCATCTAAAAATGTATCCATTTTTTTCTAGGCTATCCAATTTACTGGCCTAAAGATGTTCATACTTGTGTCTATGATCGTTTGTATTTCTCACTCATCCGCTGCAATATTTCCTATTCATTTTGGATTCCATTTCTTAGAGTTTTCTCCATTTTCTCATAATGAGTCTATAGAGGTTTGTCTATTTTGCTCATCTTCTCAAAGAGTCAGCTTTTGGTTTCATTAATCTTTTGATAATCTGTTCTTATATAAAGAAATACTGTTAATATGAGTAATAAGAAAAAAATCATCATGCATCTTTTTTCTATTGATTTCTACTCTATTTTCATTATTTCCTTCTATTGGCATTTAGTTTCATTTCTTTTCTTTTTTCTAGTTCCTGAAGGTAAAAGGTTAGATTATTTATTTATTGAGATCTTTCTTGTTTATAATGTGGTGCTATATACTTTCCTTTAAGTACTGCTTCTGCTACAGCCCATACATTCTGGAAGGTCTTCATGTTTGTCTCCAGGTATTTTTTAATTTCTTCTATGATTTCCCCATTAACCCTATAATCATTCTAGCATGTTGTTTAATTTCCATATATGTGAAGGTTCTTTCCACCTTCTTCTTTTGGCTAGTTTCAAGTTTAATATGATTGTGATCAGACACTTGATATGATTTCAATCTTTTTAAATTTACTGACACGTGTTTTGTGTCCCAACAAGTGGCCTATGTTTGAGACTGTGCACCGGAGAAGAATGTATACTCAGCTTTTTTGGGGGTGCAATGCCCAATAAATTTCTATTAAGCCCATATAGCATAATGTCTCCTGTAAGGCTGACTTTGTCTGGTTAATCTGTCCTTTGATGTAAGGAGGGTGCTGAAGACCTACAAATATTTTGTTGCTGTTAATGTCCATTTTTAGGTTTGTTAATTGTTGCTTTATATATATTGATACTCCTTCATTTGGCACATGTAAATTGGTAAGTATTATTTCCTCTTGAGGTACTGATTCTTTAGTCATTATATAATATCCATCCTGTTTACCTTTTTTAGCTGGAAGTCTTTTTTTTTAAGATTTATTTAGTTATTTATTTATATAAGAACCGGGGTACAGGCCAGATGCATGGGAGGGTGAGAGGATTCACCAGAGCCAGAGCGGGGAACAGAACAGGCAGACTGATGAAACACACTGCTGAGGGGAGCAGCGGGTGAGACAGGAGAGGTCTGCCTCGCCATGCGGGTTGCTGCGTGGCCGGCAGGGATCGAACTGGCACTGCAGAGGCTGCAAACAGCTTCACAGCGCAGTGCTCAGCCGCCTGCGCCACCAGGGGAGGCCCTGGAAGTCTTTTTTATTGACATAAGTACGCTGTCACTCCTGTGTTAGTGTCCCAACTGCTGGCAGGGTTGTTCTCCAAACTTTTGCTTTGAGTCTATGTTTATCTTTGGCAGTCAGAGGGATCTCCTGAAGACAACAGAAAGTTCGGCTTTGTTTTATAAGCCGGCCAGCATCTCTGTGCCTTTTGATTGGTGATTCAGTTCATTTATATTAATGTTTTCTCCATTACTTTTGAATAAGCTCTCAGTGCCCTTCTCTCTTCCTCTTCTTTGATATGTTATCCTTAAGATGAGACTTAGATAGTTCTCGAGGCACTTCATTAAAAAAAAAATCTTATTTTTCTCTTTTTTCATATGGTTCATTTGTGTATTACTATTTTTCATGTCACTGACATCTTCATTTGGTCAATTCTGCTTTATAAGCTTTCTCTGGATTTTATCTCTTTGATTATGCTCTTTACATCCTGAATCTCTGTTATTTTCTTACTTAAAGTTAAAATACCTACTTTGTGCTCATTAATTTTATTTCTGAGCTTACTCGTTTTTCCAAGTTTTATTTCCTCGGTTAGCTTATGAGTTCTCTCATATCACTTTGACTTGACTTTCTGCATTTTAATTTATCTCTTTGATTTTCTTTATTATAGCAACAAACTATCTGATAGGGAGATATAATCTTTCATGTCTTTGTGATTGAATTCAGGAGAGTTGTTCGGTCCTTGTAAAACTCTCAACAAAGAGAGTTTTACTTTTACCCACTGATCTCAGAATCTAGCCTTTTTATAAAATGAGGTATTATACCCGATAAAAGCAGCCAACAAACATTTACATAGTTTAACAAAATGTACTTGAACATTTCAATAATCCAGTCAAAAGATTTCAAATTTGAAAAGTTTGTGTGTATGTATATACATGTATATATGTATACACACACACATATAAATATAAACAAAAAATTCTCAGAAACATGGCAGAAACCACTTTAATCAAGTTCTCAAAGTTAACACTGTCAGTTATAAAACATAGTATCATGGTCCCCAGTATGACTACAGGTGAGGCAAGAGGATCAAATCACTTCTGCTACTCTTCCAAAATGGATAACTTCAATTTAATCATAGCAAAAATCAGCCAACCTAATTGAGGTACATTCCACAAAGTAATTTGCCTATAGTCATCAAAAAGGTCAAAATCATGAAAGACAAAGCACTGAGTTTCACTGGTTGAAGAATACTGAAGAGTTAAGACACAACCAGGTGTTATGTGAAATCCTGGATTGGATTTAGAAACAGAAACAAGGACATATGTGAGAAAACTGGCAAAATTAAATAAGGTCTACAGATTAGTTAACAGTATTATATCAGTTTCCTGGCTGGCATCCAGGAAAGCTGAATGAAGCTATACTAGAACACTCTGTATTTTTTTTGCAAATTTTTAGAAAATCTAAAATATATTTAAAATGTAAGTTTTTTTAAAAATTGATTTGGTGGTGGGTACACTACACCTGAAAAAGAGGGAGGGGGTATCATATACTTCCAAAATACCAACAACAATGTAAGCCAACGTTACTGCAATTACACAACAATAATAACTCCTGTAACAGGTCTCTGGGGAAAAAAATATTCTCAGAGGAAAAGCTTCCATTTAGAATAACAAAGGCCATAAGAACTTCTGAACTAGAGAAAGTCAAACATCCTTGTTTGGGCACTCTAAGGATATCTTACTCCTAGCAATCATCCATACTTGCTTATTTTGGGCAAAAAGGAGTAAAATGCTGGTTATGGTTGAGAAAGAGTAGGTTTGGAGTTAAGAGACCTAAACTTCAATCTCTATGACGCTTCAAGAAGTCATTTAATGTCCCTGAGCCCTGGTATCCTCCTATAGAAACAACACATAATTCCAAGGATTGCTTCGGTGATTAGGAAAAATGTACCTAAAGTACGAGTTATAGTTTTGGATAAATTGTAAGTGTTCAGTAAATGTTAGTTATCCTGTCCATCTCATATGCATACTCCTTA